GGCCCTCAGATTCACTTTTAGGGACGTTGATGCATCAGGGTCTTTGTGAAAAAAGGCCTGAATTTTCAGGGTTCCTAAAAAAAAAGCCTGAATTTTCAGGGTTCCGAAAAACAAAAGCCTGAATTTTCAATCACATCATGCAATTGTGCAAGAGAGTAGCTTTTATGAACATGTTAGTAGAGGGATTTGAACCGGAAACCGAGTAGCTTTTATGAACATGTCAGTAGAGGGATTTGAACCGGAAACCTTACCATTCGGTATCTACTTCGCTTACCACTAAGCGTTCATCGGGTCAGCAATCAGTATTTTTTTAAACAAGATTTTATTATGTGGAAATGTTGGTTGACTTATTGTCTCGGGTGTTTTACGGGAAGGATTCGGAATGTGCATTCAGTGTACACTTCGATAAAAGTCTGAAACATCAGTGTTAGCTATGAAGTAAAGGCTGAAAAAATCAGTGTCACAAAAATCTCAACACTGAAAATTCAGTGTAGGTACACAAAACTAGGCTGAAAATCAGGAATTTCAGGGGAAAATTCCTGATATCGTAGGGCCTGTACGGTACCCATACCCTGCCTGCACCATAGTTTTAATCATGCCTTCTGTGTCATGCAGATGCAGTGCTGTCAAACACCTCAAGAACAAAACAAAGGACGATGTTCAGCCCACCAAATTGGTATATAAAAACAAACCGACAGACATATACAAAAAGAATAAAAGTAACAGCCCACCAAGGTTGTTTCACACTCAAAAGAAAGGAAAGATGTTCGGCCAACCAAAAACCTGTAAACAGCCCACCAAACTAGAAAACAGCCCACTAAAACACAGAAACGATACTACTCTGATGCACACCCCAAAGGAGGGAATGAAACCAACGAGTCAAAAGGTATTGGCCTCCCGAAGATTTTGGGCCCCCTGTGGACCATGAAAGCTCTCTTCTTTCTCCTGCTGGTGCACCTTCACTTCTTTCCTTCAACTTGACTCGAGGTCTTCATTATGCCGCCCTTCAGCCACACCTTTCCCAGGAAGGGCCCAGCAAACTCAAGCTCGCACTCCTGCATACAAAGGACAATGAATGGCAGAAAATGGGCCACAGAACCAGCACAGCAAGATACACGTATAAGAGTCCCGATGATAGAACACGAGGTAAGTAAAAGGGCAAAGAGATTGAAGTGTGTGGAGGAAAAGGTGGGGGAGAAAGGGAAATTGGTGGCGGCATGTGGGAGATAGATGGTACGAAACAGGGGGGAGGGGAAAGGAAGGGGTGAGAGAGAAGGGGTGAGGGTGGAGAGAGGAGAGGGGGAGGAGGGGGGGGGAGGGAAACAGGTTATGTACTTCCAATCGCACGTACCTATTACGGAGCCCAGTATTCAATGCCCCCTTGTTTACGGGTGTAATCTACGTTGGCAGCAGTAAGACACGTGCTGCAGTCCACCACGGATAACCAGGCAGAGCTCCGGCAGTGCACCATGAGACACTCGAGCGTGCTTGGGCCTGCAAGGAAGTTGCAACACCAATAGGTACGAAGCCCTTAGGAGTCAGGACCATAGATTTGGTAAGAAACAAGGTATGGTGCTACTAGCCCTGGGGAGGAAGAGAGGGAGAGAGAGGGGGCGAGAGAGGAGAAGGTGCAAGAAAAGGGCGAGAGAGAGGGAGAATAGGCGAGAGAGGGGGGGCGAGAGAGGGAGAAGGGGCAAGAGAGGGGGCGAGGGAGAGAGAGAGAAGGGGCGAGAGGGAGGGCGAGAGAGAGGGGGGGGAGAGAGGACATAAAGAGCGAATGCGCAATTGTAGGGTGGCAGATTGCACTTACAAGTTCCAATTCCACCGATATTCATACATACTTCACCGGAACCACAACGAATGACTGCGCATGTTCCTGGAGAGAGAGAGAAGGGGGAGAGAGAGTGAGAGAGGGAGAGAGAGAGGGAGAGAGAAGAGAGAAAGAGAGACAGGAGGGGGAGAGGGCGAGGAAAGTGAACTACTATAACAGGGAAATGAAAGTGAACATGAGTGCTTTGCAGAAATGGAGGAATTTAACAAACAAGCACAGTACGCACCTGTGCAAATGCCATTGTGCAGTACATATCCTGGTGCACATTTACAGACTGCGCCACCACTCGTGTCGACACATACTTCAGATTCGCTATTACAAGGGTCGGAGGCGCATGTTCCTGGCAGATGCGAGGGAGAATGGAAAGTATATTTGAGAGTGGGGTACGCCATGTACGCCATGTGGGGTACATGCGCCCTCAACCCTTTGTAGTAGTTTTGAGAGTCGCGTACAAAGAGCTGGACAGACCATGTAGAGAGATGGGTGGATCCATTCAAATTAAGACAGCATGAGCGTGCAGGAAGAATGTGAGGCAGACAAAGACACACATACCTTGACAATTCGGCGGCGCGCCTGTGTATTCGGGCTCCCTGCAAACGCATTGTCCCCCGTGATCCGTTTCTTTGCAAAGTTCGAAGGGTCCACACTTCGTGAATATGCATTGCGCTGGCAGTAGGAGAATTCATCAGCGAGGGAGAGAAGGATGGGGAGGAAGAGAGAGAGAGAAGGATGGGGAGGAAGAGAGAGAGAGAGAAGGATGGGGAGGAAGAGAGAGAGAGAGAAGGATGGGGAGGAAGAGAGAGAGAGAGAAGGATGGGGAGGAAGAGAGAGAGAGAGAAGGATGGGGAGGAAGAGAGAGAGAGAGAAGGATGGGGAGGAAGAGAGAGAGAGAAGGATGGGGAGGAAGAGAGAGAGAGAGAAGGATGGGGAGGAAGAGAGAGAGAGAGAAGGATGGGGAGGAAGAGAGAGAGAGAGAAGGATGGGGAGGAAGAGAGAGAGAGAGAGAAGGATGGGGAGGAAGAGAGAGAGAGAGAAGGATGGGGAGGAAGAGAGAGAGAGAGAAGGATGGGGAGGAAGAGAGAGAGAGAGAAGGATGGGGAGGAAGAGAGAGAGAGAGAAGGATGGGGAGGAAGAGAGAGAGAGAGAAGGATGGGGAGGAAGAGAGAGAGAGAGAAGGATGGGGAGGAAGAGAGAGAGAGAGAAGGATGGGGAGGAAGAGAGAGAGAGAGAAGGATGGGGAGGAAGAGAGAGAGAGAGAAGGATGGGGAGGAAGAGAGAGAGAGAGAGAAGGATGGGGAGGAAGAGAGAGAGAGAGAGAGAGAAGGATGGGGAGGAAGAGAGAGAGAGAGAAGGATGGGGAGGAAGAGAGAGAGAGAGAAGGATGGGGAGGAAGAGAGAGAGAGAGAAGGATGGGGAGGGAGAGAGAGAGAGAGAGAGAGATGAGAGAGAGAGAGAGAGAGAGAAGGATGGGGAGAGAGAGAGAGAGAGAGAGAGAGAGAGAGAGAGAGAGAGAGAGAGAGAGAGAGAGAGAGAGATAGAAAGGGGGGAGGGGGAAGGGGGGAAAGGCGGCTGAGGAAAGAGTGCTGGCAAAACACCACTGCTAATCATGGCATCCATAAGCAGGGTTTTTTGCATGGCTTGTCAACAAAGATAGATGGGCTACAAACAACCTCCGAATCACAGGACGGGCTCCTCTCCTTCTGTATCGTGCTCTCTACACTATCTTGTACACCCTTTTGCATACATAATACAGAGAGCGTGTGTGTGAAGGTGACAGGCTACGTACGCGCGCAGGTGTGAGAAGAAACGCGCTTGTATCCAAACTTGCATTGACAGTATGACATGTCATCTCGCTCCACACACTCCTCGTTGAGACCACAGACTCGTATGAGCACGGTGCTGGCAGATGGTGGGAGGGGTTAATGGGGGGAGAGGGAGAGGGAGAGAGAGGGGGGGAGAGAGGGAGAGAGGGAGGGAGAGAGGGAAAGACGGGGGAGGGGGGGAAGTTTGGCAGGAAAAGGGCGACGAAGTGAAAATGATTAACAAGAAAGCAGTGTTTGAGAGAATACATAAAACAAACAGAATTTGTTTCAAGCCACCAGCCACCTCATCAAGCCATCAGCCACCTCAGCAAGCTCTATGCAGTAACAAAGGCGGAAATCCCTCTGGGTTCCTCAGACAAGACCCTGACAATCAAGGGTGTTTTCATGTTGCAGTCTGTTGTGATGCCTCCATGGGCCATGTGACCTAACCCCAAACCTCAAACCCTATACCATGATTGATCTGAGTTGCTACCTTGCCCACCTCAAGTGGTTTGGGTTTGCATGGGCATCGATACCGAAACCAAGTGTGTGTGTGTGTGTGTGTGTGTGTGAGAGAGAGAGAGAGAGAGAGAGAGAGAGAGAGAAGGCCGTTAGAGAGAAGGCCGTTAGAGAGAAGAGGAGAAGCACATACGCTTGCACCATCCAGCGCCCCCAAGATATCCTGGCTTGCACTTGCACGTTGGTCTGAGGTTCACCATCTCGCATTCTTCATTTTCACCGCATTCATAGACTGCGCAGGTTGCTGGTAAGTGGAGAGAGGGGAGAACGAGAGAGGTGGTGAGGGATAGTGAGGTGAGGCAGGGGAAGGGACGGTGGTAGAGGAAGGAGGGTAATAAGACGGAAAGAGAGAGAATATGCAAGGAAAGTGAGAGGGAAAAAATAAGAGGAATGGAAAGCCAAACATACTACATACCATCACAGTATTTGCCTCGCGCAACGTATCCTGGCATGCATTCGCAAGTCCCAGCGCCTCCAGGGACTTTCTCCACACAGTGTTGGTTAGGGGGACAATACAGAGCTTTGCATGTTGCTGCAAGATGGATTTGATGATTGATAGGGAGAAGTGGGAGAATGAGACAGAGGATGAGGAGAGAGCATGACAGAGAGGTTATGACAAACGAGCAAGATAGGCAGCGATACGAGTGACAACAAAAGAGAGAAATATCAATCAGAGATGCATTGCATAGGAGGGAGAGAAGGAAAGGCAAAGAACACATGTGAGTAAAGAACAAGCACACCACATACCAGCACAAGATCCCGCCTGGCCGACATATCCACTCCTGCATTTACACGTTGGTACACCTCCTACCATCGCACATTCTTCCAATGGTCCACAATTCATGGCTTCACAGGTGTCTGTTGGATGGATGGAGGGAGACAGGAGATGGGAAGAGGGGGATGGGAAGAGGGGAAGAGGGGGAGAGGGGGAAGATGGGAAGAGGGGAAGATGGGAAGAGGGGAAGAGGGGAAGAGGGGGAGAGGGGGAGAGGGGAAGATGGGAAGAGGGGAAGAGGGGAGAGAAAGCAACCTACATCGCCACTAATGCAATGACCTTTGGCAGGAGGCGTGCTGGTGTGGATGTGACATGGAGCAGGAAGGGATGAATACGTGGGTCAGCCACGCGAGTGAGGCAGCGAAGTGGAGAAGGGAAATGCAGGAAGGAGCAAAACGATAGAAAGAGGACATCAGGAGAGGGGAGACGGGGTCAGGGAGTGGAATGTGCACAAGTGGATGATAAAGGGAAGGCAACGGGTGAAGAAAATGAGACCATCAGCACATACTTGGGCAAGCTTGGATGCTCTTTTGGGAGTTCCAAACACAGTCACGAGGACAGTTAGCCGGGCAGTTAACTGCAACAGAATTCAAGAAGGATAAAAAGGTACAGAAAGGCACAGAAAGGTACAGGTACAAATCAGCAACAGAATGAAAGCAAGAAATCTATCTACCTTCTCTCAACCACCAGCAATCGTCTACAAGAGCCACAACTGCCACGTGACTGCTCCCCACGTGTCAGCAATGTGACCAACGGTGGCTAGATAAGCACCTTCACCTAGCCTTCCTCATGGCCACCAAGCGCAGCCATTCCCACCACTCCCCAACTGAAGCGAGCAGGATTTTCCAGCAAGGAAGGTGATGATGAGTAGGGACGATGATTGGATGGAATGTGTGTAAGTTGGCGAGCGAGCGCACCTTTCTTACAGACCGGATAGAGTCCAGATGTGTCACAAAGATATCCATATGGACAGGGCATGGCCGGGCATGATACTGGCAGATGGATGGTGAAGATTGAGTATGATGAGAGGGAGAGAGGGGAGGGGAGGGAGAGGGAGAGGAGGTGGGCGGGGAAGGGGAGATGGGGAGTTTGAAGGGTTCATATGGTTAAACACCAAAAGGCCAACAAAGCTTGGTGGCAATGCCTCAGATTAAGAGAAATAAAAAAGGGGATAACGGGGTACATAGGGAAACATAGGGGAAGAACTGACGCGGGTCCTTTCAAATCCATTGCACGTACCTGTGCAATTTCCTGAGACTGGATCCGGTGTGTAACCATCGTTGCACTTGCAGTACTGAGAGGGCGGATTGGTGGTCCACCACCACCACTGCCTTTGCTCAACGCAATTGCCGTTACCACAGTTGTCAGCAGTGCAATTGTCATGAAGAAACTCTGGACAGAGATAGAGAGAAAACAGGAGTGTGTAAGCAGGTGAGGCATGCAGGATGAGACACCCACCACACTGCCACGGATCAACAGAGGCGATCCAGCAGGGGGAATGGTAATTATTCATGGGATTGGCTTGACAGAATCATCAAAATTCCCCTGATTACACAGATTAAGCTGTGCTATTGTGCAAGCACACGCACATACGTGCGTAATCCACACACGCAAGCAGATTATTCCGTAATCTGCACACGCAAGCAGATTATTCCGTAATCCACACAAACCTCATTCACAACGCTGCGTGACTTCACATGCTACTGCAGATGAGCCTCAAGAGAGAGGTGAAGTAGGAGGGGGAGAGATGAAGATGGTGAAAATGGAGGACAGCACAAACATACGTACGTACCAGCACAAAGGACAGCACATGCGTATGTACAAACTTACCAACACACAGTCCGTCGTAGCGATTGTATCCAACCCTACAGTCGCAGGTTCCAGCGATCCCGTTGGGGAGGTCGTCACGACATTCTTCGTCAATACCACACCAATATACACTGGACGGATCGCCCAGAAGTTTGCATGTGGCTGGCAGATGGTTGGTGAGAGGGGGTATGTGGGAGATGGGAATGTGCAAAGGTAGACAGAGAGGGAGAGGGAGAGAGAGAAAGAGAGAGAAGGCGGGGGGGGGGGGGGGGGGGGGGGGGGGTTCTCAAATCTCTCCTATCAAAGGCCACTACGGCACAGTCTCGGCAGACCGAGGATGTGAAGGGTGACACGGAGGAGCGAGAGTCTCAGCGGGGTAGCAAAAGAGCAATGAGTGGGGGGTGGTAGGGGGTGTTGCTCGGGGGCATTCTATGTATTCTTGTGTATGCCATATGACTTGCTTCTTGTTGTCTAGCTACATCGGCCTTACCTTGCTAAGGCTTGTACACCTTTGCCTATTCTAAAACATGACCGCTTGAGAGGAACGAAGAGAGAATTGCAAGAATGAAAAAGAGCATACGTACGGGCACAAATGCCTGAGTGTGTGCGAAGGTATCCATCCTTGCACACGCATTTAGCATGGGTCCGCTTCTCGATGCTTTGAGGTATACATTCTTCTTCAAAGCTGCAATTCACGTCTGGGTGATCGCATGTCACTGGCGGATGGATGGCACGAGAGGGGGTATGCAGGAGAGAGGGGGTATGCAGGAGAGAGGGGGTATGCAGGAGAGAGGGGGTATGCAGGAGAGAGGGGGTATGCAGGAGAGAGGGGGTATGCAGGAGAGAGGGGGTATGCAGGAGAGAGGGGGTATGCAGGAGAGAGGGGGTATGCAGGAGAGAGGGGGTATGCAGGAGAGAGGGGGTATGCAGGAGAGAGGGGGTATGCAGGAGAGAGGGGGTATGCAGGAGAGAGGGGGTATGCAGGAGAGAGGAGGTATGCAGGAGAGAGGGGGTATGCAGGAGAGAGGGGGTATGCAGGAGAGAGGGGGTATGCAGGAGAGAGGGGGTATGCAGGAGAGAGGGGGTATGCAGGAGAGAGGGGGTATGCAGGAGAGAGGGGGTATGCAGGAGAGAGGGGGTATGCAGGAGAGAGGGGGTATGCAGGAGAGAGGGAGGGGAAACGTTCAGTTGTTGACATTGCACATGTCAGCATGCAGTTTGGTTTGGACTGAGCAATGAAATCTCAGAAGTTAAAAACAAGTTTATTGTATGGAGTTGAGATGGCGGAAAAGTGGACGACTGCAAATTGTGGGAGTAGTGGGGAAAACACTACTTGCTCCGTCGGAAGATTTCCGGTACGTTGTGGGTGATCGCATGTTTCTGGATGGATGGATGGTTCGTTGCTCAACCATTTCCTGTACTCCCATACACAACGTACTGAGACAAGATCCAGGCTCGCCAATCATGTTGTCGCCACATGTGCAGGTAATATCGTCACGACAAACGGATGGGGGCCAGCACCACCTTGCCCAGCACTTATCTGGCAGATGATTGGTGGAGAGAGGACGGGAGAGATAGAGAGGGGGAGAGTTATCCATTATAGCTATGGCACATCAATGAAGCTTCTTGAATACGTAGAGAGGGGGGAGTGAAGGGGAGGGGGAAGAGAGAGCGAGGGAGATCATGTACGCACCGATGCAAGTCCCATTTGGCAGCAAGACGGTGCCGTCCATAAAGCAAATGCAGGTGGCTTCCAAAGTGACAGGGTCATGCTCGCACACTCCTCGCTCACCACAGGCCTTACTCTCGCAGTCATCTGAAAGAGGGATGGAGGACATAAAAAGGGAGAAAGGTGGAGAGGTGAAGAGAGGTGAAGAGAGTGCAAATCGGGGGAAGATGGCGAGAAACGGGGATGAGAGAGGGGTAGATAGGAAGGGGATAAGAGGTAAGATAATTTAGTGCAACATCAATGAAGAGGTATGCTAAGTACCGACACAAAAGGCAGATTTGGTCGCAATCTCTCGACAGCTTTGAGGAGCCACAAAACAACACTTGTGATCTGTCTCTTACCGAGGGTTAGGGAGGGAGGAAGCACCAAGTAGGCGTCACGTGAAGCAAAGGAAACCACCAATACACACCTTTGCAACTTCCATCAGATTGCATGGTGAAGCCTGCGCTGCACTGGCAGGATGCCTTTCCAGATACAGCGTCCTTGACACACATAGCCGAGTCGTGGCATCCCTTGAAATTGCAATTATCTGACAGGGAGGATTCAAAAACAAACAGTTGGAAAAACGCAAGTAAGTTTGAGAAGGAAGGGAGGTATTCGACCACCCCAAAGCTCTATCTCACGGTACTATCAGGAAATGCACGGCATGGGGGAAATGCATTTTTGTGTGAATTTTTTACTCTCAAATCCAAAAGGTCAGATGCTCTACAAGTATTAATGATGCCAACTTGCCAAGCATGGAACGGAACGGAAAGAGGAAGGCGGGCAAGAAAATGCACGAGAAAGAGGATGAAGTAGAGCCATTCCAACCAACCGCCCTAAAACGTCTCGAAATGTCACGTACCAGCGCAATACATGTCTTGAGCAACGTCTCCAACGCAGCTAGAACCCAAGTCACAGCCCGTGGCGATGCATGTTGCTGGCGAAGGAATGGAAGGAAGAGAGAGGGATCATGGGGAGAGGGGGGGGGGAAGGGGGGAGGCAGAATGGAGAGGGGGGAGCGGCGGTTGTGCGTTCAAACACAGGACCATTGAGAGAGGGGGGAGGAGGGAGGGTAAGGGGTGATTCCATTGCTAAAGGAGGTGAGGGGTGGTGAGACCAAGAGCGAGTATTGGGGATGGGGTTAAAGTGAAGGAGGCCAAATATACGCACCAGCACAGGTGTTATTCGGTAGCATGTAGTAACCGTCGTTGCAACGGCAGGTTTTATCTCCACTTCGCTGGTCCGTCTCACATGTAGCATGGGAATCACAGAGTTCGCATACATCTGACGGGAGGGGTGGCAATGATAAGAAAGAACGTGAAGGAGGGTGAGGACAATGAGAAAACGGTTGCAAGTGATATGAGATTTTGGGATAATAGATGTATAGAAAGAGAATGATCATGCAAGATTGATCAAGCAGGGAAAGTGAGGGGTAAGGGCGAAAGACAATGATGATGAATATTCTCGAACCAAGCCAAGATAAAAACTGTACATTAATAATGCATTTCCCAAACATATTATCCCCACCTGTAAAATACCAATGCCCTTATCTGAAGTTATAAAACCATATTATGCACCACTGGCAAGGTATTTTAGAAAAGGCGTAGCAAGTTTGCCTTGCGCACTTGCCTTCCTGCAGAAATAGGGAGACACGCAGCCAGCATTCTAATTTACGTACCAATGCATTCCCCGGACACATTTCTGAAGCCCTGATTGCAGATGCATAATGCCAGGTCACGCTTGCCCTTGACACACGTGGTGTTGGCACCACATCCCTTCACAACGCACGAGTCTGGAAGGAAGATCAAAGAGGAAGACATAAGCGAGAGATAGGGCGGATCCGCAAGAGAAAGCGGGGCCTCAGGGTCAACAAGGGAGGATTTTAAAGAGTGTGAGCGATCAGGATGGGAAGTTGGGTGGAGGAGAGAGGAAAGGAGAGGGCGAAGGAGGGAGGGAGGGAGAGGTTGGAAGTTGAAACGAACGGAACGGGTGAGGTATAAGACAACAGCATGAACAAGGCAGGCACTTACCCTGTGCCACAGGTGACAGGCACATCAGCCAGCCATGCAGCGACTGCAGCAACACTCACCCATGCAGGCATCACTGGGAGTCCTGGTGTACCCATCCTTGCAGGCACACGTGTCACTCCCTGATGCATTCAGGAAACACAAGGCATTCGTTCCGCAGTTGTCCACAGCGCATGGCTCTGAGGGGAAGGGAGGGGGAAGGGGAAGCGAAGGGAGGGAAAGGCACGGGAGGCAGCAACGGAGAGGCAGTGAGGGCAGCTGGATTGCAAGCATGACTCTCACTCAAGGCACGGGGGGGGATGAGGAAGTGTGCCGCTCTTCTGATAGGCGAGTTCCTTTGGTCCTTCTGCGCAGGGTTGCGCCGATGATCCTTCTCCCTCCGTCCTATGTACTGATCATAGGCAGCAGCCGCTGGTGGTCTGGCATGCGCCAGAGAGGCAGCAAGCCGTCGTCCTCCAGTCGAAGTTACGCCAGGTGACGCCGGGGCCAGTCTCATGGCCCAGTCCCATAGCTTGGTCTCTCAGTTCCATAGCTTTGAGCAGGTCCTTTATGTGGTTGAGCCCCCTGGGTCTAGTGCCCCGGGATAGGCGATCAGTGATTGTTCTTGACAGCGACGAGAGCGAGCACGCACCAGTGCAATTGCCAAATGGCGAAATGACGTAGTTGTCGTTGCACCCGCATATACCCGCCTTGCAGAAAGAGTTGGTGCCACAGTTTATGCGATCGCAGAGATCTGGGAGGGGAAACGGAGGCAGTTTGAAAAAGGAGTTTGCAGAGGAGAGTTTAGACTTGGGATTCAAAGAACTAAGAGAGGGGGTGTGAAAGAACACGATCCATTTTCCGCGTGCACCCATCCTTGCATGTGCATTCGTAAAGCCCTCCGTTGTTATCCACATTCCTCATTTTCGCCACAGCCTGTGACGTAGCAGGTTTCTGGCGGATGGAGGGGACGAACGGGTGTAGATAAGATAGAGCGGACGAGTGGTTGAAAGGTGGAAGAGGCGAGTTCCCTACCAGGGCGCATGTTGCTGGCAAGAAAGCGTGAGAGAGAGTGCAGGAGAGGGGGCGAGGGGCAAATATGCAGACAGAAAAGCACACTACGTACCAACACACGATCCGGGCTCCCCACTGTATCCATCGAGGCATCTGCAGACTGACTCGCCGTTGACGCCACCAAATTCCAGACACTCCTCCCCGGCGCCACACGTCTTGATGCTGCACGATTCTGGTAAATGGTCATTGGTCAGGGGGGGGAGTGAGAGTGTGGAGGGGAGGAGAGAGAGAGAGAGAGAGAGGGGGGTTGGGACGGGGGAGAGGGAGAGCGGGGGAAAAGAAGGTGGAAGAGGCGGAAGAGGCGAGTTCCCTACCAGGGCGCATGTTGGGCAAGAAATCGTGAGAGAGAGTGCGGGAGAGGGGGCGAGGGGCATCAATATGCACACTACGTACCAAGACAAGATCCAGGCTCCCCAACGTATCCATCGAGGCATCTGCAGACCGACTCGCCGTTGTCGCCGCTGAAATCCAGACACTCTTCCCCAGCGCCACACGTCTTGATGCTGCACGATTCTGGTAAATGGTCATTGGTCAGGGGGAGTGAGAGTGTGGAGGGGAGGAGAGAGAGAGAGAGGGGGGTTGGGACGGGGAGAGGGAGAGCGGGGGGAAAAGAAGGTGGAAGAGGCGGAAGAGGCGAGTTCCCTACCAGGGCGCATGTTGGGCAAGAAATCGTGAGAGAGAGTGCGGGAGAGGGGGCGAGGGGCATCAATATGCACACTACGTACCAAGACAAGATCCAGGCTCCCCAACGTATCCATCGAGGCATCTGCAGACCGACTCGCCGTTGTCGCCGCTGAAATCCAGACACTCTTCCCCAGCGCCACACGTCTTGATGCTGCACGATTCTGGTACATGGTAAGGTCAGAGGGAGTGAGAGTGTGGAGGGAAGGAGAGAGAAAGAGAGTGAGAGAGAGAGGGGGGTTGGGACGGGGGAGGGGGAGAGCGGGGGAAGAGAAAAGGAGAGAATTTGAGCAGAAATCTAGTGCCAGAGCGTGGGACAGACAGACAGAGTGCGAGATGTGAGTGAGTGACACGTCAAGTCCCAACGTGAGCATTTTCCCCCTCCAGAGGGAAGGGGGTAGAGGGAGAGAGGGAGAGAGAGGGAGAGGGGGAACACGCACCAGTGCAAGTACCATCAGGTAGCGTGTTATAGCCGGGGTTGCAAATGCATTCAGCGTCGGAGTTGCAAGAAGAGTCGGGACCGCACTCCACACCATCACAGGAATCTGGGAAGAGAGATGGAGGCAGTTTGAACAAGTGGGGCAGGAGCTTGTTAGTAAAGCGGGATACCTAGCGTGTTAATGCTGCATGGGGCACGGGGCATGGTGCATGCATGGGGCACGGGGCATGGTGCATGCATGGGGCACGGGGCATGGTGCATGGTGCATGGGGCATGGGGCAAGGGCCATGAGGCACGAAGCATGGGGCATAGGGCATGGAATATAGTATCACGGGACACGGGCACGGGGCATGTATCATGAGAAAGCACCCTCAACATAGTCACTCACATCACACCAGCCATCAACATAGTCACTCACTGGCACATCTTCCATCGGGGAGCATGACTAGACCAGGCCGGCACAAGCAGAGTCCGTTGTCGCAGTAATTGGACGGGCATCCCTTGGCAATGCGGCACGTGGCTGGTGGAGGCACGGCACAGAGGAGCACAGCGCAGGGGGTAGACGGGCGCAGAGGATTGGGCGGGTGAGAGAGAGGCAAGAGAACAAGGTGGTGCTAGAGCAGGCCTGGCTAGGGTTGTTGCTCTCTGAAGGATCTACAGCAGGGAGAGAGAGATCTTGCAGGATAGATTGAGACGGCAGCAGCAATAGCAGCAATGGTGCCGACAGCAACAGCGGCAATGGCGGGCAGCAGCAGCGGCAGCAGCAGGAGTGGCGGCAGCAGAGTGCATCAACTCACAGACACAGACTTGCACGTCGGCGTTCCACACTTTCCCCTGAGGGACAGGCTGTGGCAGGACAAGAGCCTTGGCGTGAGGCATGGAGGCTGGAGGACAGGGGAGGGGAGGAGAGGAGAGGAGAGAGAGGGTAGAGGGAGGATGAGGGGAGTCGGAGATAGAGATCAGAAGATCAGCCTCTGCCTGGTGAAGGAAGGAATGATCTTGACAACCAGAAGAAAGGCATAGTAGTGGCAATCAGACGATCAGCCTCTGTCTGGTGAATGCAACTCGGTTGGGGCGGAGGAAGGAAAGACAGGCGGCAGAAGCGGAGGCATTGCGGCGATTTGTCACCAGCGACGACCCCTCACCAGCGATGACCCTCACCAGCGACGATGGCGACGGTTATTCTCGGTTGACGGCAGCAACTATCACGAGAACCATGTGCGTGGCTCATCACTGGCGATGATCACCATCGCCGGGCGACGATCACGATCATGGGTGGGCGACTATCACCACGACCGCATCATCATCAGCAACCGACCATCGTCGGCGACAGTCAGCAGCAGCAGCGATCATTGGCTGCGCTGCTATGACTTGGAACGGCAATTCACCTGCAACGACGCTGATTACGATTACTATTAACTCCTTTAATCAAAGTTCTCACCTGCTACGATCATCAGAGTCGCCAGCAGCGAGACAAGCCCAATGCGGCGGCCGCAGCCAGAAGTTGGCATAATGATGACCCATGTTCCTCAGAAATCGCTCTTGAGAGCGCGGCGAGCGAGAGAGAGAGCGCGGCGGCGATCGTGGAGCATAGAAGGCCAAGGCATGGGTCGATGATGGGTTACTGACGGGAAGTGTGAGCAAGCTATGGGCTTCGTGGCTTTTAGTACTACGAGGAATGAGGACGCGGAACTTCCGCGGAAGCTGAATACTTGCGAGGCCGCGGAAAGGTTACACCAAAACGAGGAAACATGATGCGCATCTCTCTCGCGCCGGAGGCCCAGGCCGCCGCCAGCAAAACCTAACTTAACCCAGCCTTGGAGGGGTCCGCAGCGGGAGGACTCCGCTGATGGGGGGAAATTTTCCGCCGAGCGTGCTGTACAGGAACCCAGCCCGAGGCGGCTCGGGGAGCAGCCGTCTCATTAGTATGTGGTAGATACCATCGTCAACTTTAATGTTGTGAACCGGTCCCAAACAGAGCCTTCAAGTGACTAATATGGGACAGATACCACCATCACGGGGTGAACGGCGGCTCGAGCAGCCGTCTCATTAGTATGTGGCCGTACTACCACCGCCAGCTTCAAACGTTGTGAATCCGTACCAAACAGTGCCTTCAGGAGTCACGGGTATCTGTTCACCTGAACGGCTCCGGGAGCCGTCTCAGTGTGGTATATACTATACGCACTGTACAGTACCACCACTATGCGTGAAGCGAACTCAGCCAATTGATGGAGCCTGCCAGATTGGCCACATCCCGCACGGACGACGGCTGCACCTGACCTAAATCGGTCCCAGTGACATCGCCAACCAGCCACACACAACAACCAAACTCTCAAACAGACGAGCGGCGATCGTCTAATCGAAGTTGGCCGCACAAACGAGTGACTTCTGCAGCCACAGAAAAGAGAGAAAATGGGTGGCCTGGCGAGAATGGCACGTGAACGCACATTCTTGGCTGACAACTTGTCGCGAATGACAACGAATCCTTGAAGGGAAAAGGCGCGCGGTGGTGACTGGACAGGAGGAGCCGGCTGTCCGCCGCTGCCCCGCCCTAATCTACGGTAGTTACCCGCAACTCCCCCCAGTTCCCCGTCCCAGCTTCCCCCCGCAAGAACCGCGCCATGAGTGACTGTATCTGTTTCGCGATTAGGTAGGTAGACGGCCAGGGCATTCCAAAAAGTACGGCCAGGCATTCCACAAAACTTTCGGCCTCACTGTTTCGAACGTTTCCTGGGCTTAGGGCGTGTCCAGCTCGTTCATTTCGGGAAATCTAGTACCTCCTCACGATCCGGGGTTCAAAACTGAACACTGTACCTATAAACGAACGAGCCTTGCTCGAGTCCACCCTTTCTGTCATTCTGGCGCGCGGACACCATCCCCCCACACAGACTTCAACAGTGCAGGGGCCGTGTGGCAACCAAGGTAACCAGTTCCCTCGTCAACCAAAGCGTTAGAATTTTCGCCAGGCCAACACTTCCACTATAGGTTTTGGCGAGGGTCAGGCGGCACATGCGAAATCAAGCGCGCGATACGATGGGCACTCACTGTAGTGGGCAGGACGCGGTTCTGTACCATTGTTCGATGCGCACGCTGATTCCTGTAACGTGCGTCACACGATTCGAGGTACGTGCAGGGGGTGTGCCGTATCGTGAACGGGAGCTGATCGTGTCTGGCATTTTTGTAAAACTCAGTGTTACAACGCAAATTGTGGTAACTGAAGGGCTTTACGAACAGTAAATGAACGAGCTGAACTTCCCTTAGAAACGTTTTCTGTTCCAAACATATGTCATGTCAAGCTCTCGAGTTTCGACGGACATCTAGCATACGCGCTATACAGTTCAGTAGAACCATCCCACGTGAATCCAGCCAATTGATGGAACCCGCCAGATTGGCAACATCCCACTCGGCCAATGACGCACCTAACCTGATCATGCCAAAGAGGCCAAAGCAAAGGGGGCAATGCCTCTGCTTTACCTGACCTGATCATGCCGGACAAGTGAGATTGCCTGCCAGCCACACACAGGCGGGAACCTTGGAGAGATAAGGTTGGGTGCTGGTCTTGGGTTGTGGAGTCTGAAGGCGACAAGTCGACGACCAGCCTGATCTTCCGAAAGTTACGTACAGAGTGACTCCGTAAGGGATTAGAAATCTCCTTACAGTTTACATAACATTGTAGTGTAGGATTGCTTTGTGGAATAGCATTTAAGGTACATATATCTACAATCCTGTGCTAATCAAAGAAATAATGGAACAAAGACACCAGCCACCGTTCAGCAACACCAAACCCCTGAATCGCAATGCTGCCAAGGTTTTGTCCCCAATTTGCACTCATCAGCAGGGCCCAAATTAGTAAAATATCCTGTTTGCCCTGATGGGCGGCCGCTTTTTCCCAGTTACCCTTTTCAAAACAGGGTATCTAACTTTTTACCCTAGAGCAAACAGGCTAAGTTTCGGTTTACACTGATAGCGATTATTATTTTTTTTTGGCAATGCAAGTTACACTATAACAGCGCATACAAGCATTAACAGTCGTAACTGTAGCTGATGGGCCTAGACAAAACACCCTGCCGTCGTACCCATCCTGACAACAGGTAGCAGGTAGCAGCAGCAGCCGTACGAGTAGGAAGGGACACCGCAGTGGGACCACCAGCAGCAGAAGCCACACCACCAGCAGCAGCAGGAGGAGGAGGCGCAGGAGAAGGACGAGGAGGAGAGATGCGGGTGTGGGGAGAGGGGGCGGGGAGGGGGAAGGTGAGCATGCGGCGGTGCAGAGAGGCGCACTGGCTGCTGCCCCCACGAGCAGGAGCAGGAGCAGTGCAGATGATTGCCGCCCCCCCAGTAGATGCGGCAGTGGCAGCAGCATTGAGGGGGAGAGAGGCGGACTTGCTCCCTCCGCGCCCATCAGTGACTTGCAAGCGATGCTCAGCGCTTGACGCTGAGGCGGTGCCGCGGGCGCAACCAGTGCGTGCTGGCACAGCAGCAGCAGCATTGAGGGGTTGAAAGGACGGGCCTCTTGGCTGGCTGAGCTGCTGATAGTGCTGCTGGGGTTGCTGCTGGGAATGCCGCTGAGTGTGTTGCTGCTGCAAGTGCTGGTCGTTGGGTTGGGAGATGGGCACACCCTCAAGGCCGAGAGGAGCGCACGATGCTCGGTGCTGCAGATCACGAGCCACAGCTGTGCTCTGCTGACCTGGCATAGCGCTCTGCTGACCTGGAAGACTGGCACGCTGAGCTGGCACCACCGCTGGGTCACGCCTTTTGAAGCGAGCAGTGCTGGTGAGAGGCGAGCAGAGGCCTGCCGTGGGGCTCGAAGAGGGGCGTCTCCTGTTGCCGCCCGGAGTGGTTTGATTGGCCCATCCTCGTTACAGTCTTATGCATTACAGGAACGTGTGCCTGCTCCAACCACTCCCCCACCTGCCCACCAGTTGGCCTTTCCCTCTGACTGCCGCCCATACCGCCCATGTTGCCCACGCCACCACTCATTCCGTTTCGCCCCACCGCGTGCTCCTTCCAGCTACCTCCTCCCATGGCCCTATATAAAAGGGCCCTCCCCTCCCCACTGCCGTTGCTGTCCCCTGCACGATTCCCACGCCCACAGTTGCATCCATTTCACCCCCATTGTCTCGCACCATACCACTCATGCCGCCCATGCCGCCCACGTCTTGGATGCCGCCCAGGCCAGCTACTGTAGCCGCCCTGCGGTGCACACCGGCAGCATCCCCTCCCCCACCAATCCGCCAATCCGCATCCCCCATGCTCCCTCTGCGCCATGCCATGCCCTCCCCCCTCCCCGACCGCCTCTTGCCCCCCACCCCCCAGCTCCCCCCATCCCATGCCCTCTCGCCCCAACTGCCGCTCCTTCCAGCTACCTCCCCCCACTGTCCTCTCCAAAACTCCCCTTCCCCTTCCGCTTCCCCTTCCCATCCTTTCCCCCATTCCCCTTCCCATCCCTTCCCCCATTCCCCTTCCCATCCCTTCCCCCCTTCCTCTCCCCATCCCATCCACACTCGATCCCCCCCTTCCCCCTTCCCATCCCCTCCGCGCCCATGCTCCGCCTATGCCCCTCCTCCCTTCCATCCCCACACTGCGCCAAGCTGCCTTCACCCTGGACCAATGCCTGGTTGACACGTGTACCAACAGGTCCCGCAACACTTGGCGCAATTACCCCGTTCCGCCTTTCTTGCAAACTCCCCGTACCGCGCACATATTCGCCACTTCCGCAATCCTTTGAGTCCACTGCTGCGTCTACTCTAGTTGCTGAGCTTGTTGACTTTGCTGCCGCCTGTCGTCTAGACCACGCCGCTAGTCTTGTTGCTGAGTCTGAGTCTGCGTCTGTCTATCCTCCGTCCGTCGGGGGTGAGTGTGCTCTTGGCACGCACGTCCTTGAGGACAGACAGGAGGAGTTTGAGGTGCTTTGCCGCTGCTTTACCTCATCTCGTGTCCATGCTGCTTGCCCCTGAGGGAGACCTGGATGCACCAGACATCCCGACCCCGCGCTCTTACGCAGAGGCGATAGAGGGTCCCTACTCCTCTCAGTGGCAGACAGCCATGGACACAGAGATGGCTTCCTGGAAATCCACATGCACCTACGTCGACGAGGTTCCCCCGCCTGGGGCGAACATCGTCAGTGGCATGTGAATCTTCAGGGTGAAGCGGCCGCCGGGTTCTCCGCCTGTCTTCAAGGCGCGTTACGTTGCACGAGGCTTCAGTCAGCGACAGGGAGGAGTTGACTTCTTCCAGACCTTCTCCCCTACCCCGAAGATGACCACTCTTCGGGTGCTGCTGCACGTCGCCGCTCAGCGTGACTACGAGCTACACTCTCTTTACTTCAGCACAGCCTTCCTACAGGGCAGCCTGCACGAGGAGATCTGGCTGCGCCGCCCACCTGGCTTCACTGGGTCGTTTCCTACTGGTACCCAGTGGAGCCTCCGGCGGCCAGTCTACGATCTCCGCCAGGCACCTCGTGAGTGGCATGACACACTGAGGACGACTCTTGCTGCTCTTGGGTTTGCTCCTTCCACTGCTGACCCGTCGCTGTTTCTACGCACTGACACCACTCTGCCGCCGTTTACGTTCTCGTGTACGTTGACGACTTGGTCTTTGCTACTGCTGACACTGAGGCACTCGCCCACGTGAAGTCGGAGCTGCAGAAGAGACACACGTGCACAGACCTGGGTGAGCTGACAAGCTATCTTGGCTTGCGGATCACCCAGGACAGAGCACAGCGCACCATTACCTTGACTCAGTCACACATGGTGCAGCAGGTCCTTCAGCGCTTCGGCTTCACGTACTCCTCGCCACAGTCCACTCCTCTGCCTACCGGTCACTCGCTCTCAGCTCCACCTTCGGACGAGTCCGTAGAGCCGAGTGGCCCGTATCCAGAGCTTGTGGGCTGCCTCATGTACCTGATGACCTGCTCTCGACCTGACCTTGCCTACCCTCTTAGCATTCTAGCACGCTATGTCGCTCCTGGCAGACACAGGAAGGAGCACATGGATGGAGCTAAGAGGGTGTTGCGCTACTTGTGCAGTACGTCGGGCATGGGGCTCGTGCTTGAAGGCGGGCTCAAGTTGTCCTCACTGGTCACGCAGACGCTTTCTGGGTTGACGACTTGGCTACGCAGCAGTCGTCACAGGGTTACACCTTCAGCCTTGGCTCCGGCTCTGTCTCTTGGCGGTCTACCCACTCGTCTTCTGTTCTCAGCTCTAGTTGTGAGGCTGAGATCTTCGCTGGGGCCATGGCTGCACAGGAGTTACGCTGGCTCACCTACCTGCTGACCGACTTGGGAGAGGCGCCTCGTTCTCCTCCAGTTCTGTACGTCGACAACAAGGCCATGCTTGCCTTGTGTCAGGAGCACAGACTGGAGCACAGAACGAAGCACATTGCTCTGCGCTACTTCCTTGCTCGACAGTTGCAGCAGCGTGGTCAGCTCCGTCTTGCTTACGTGGCCACTCGGGCCAACACTGCTGATATCTTTACCAGGGCACTTCAGCCTTGTGATCATCAGCGTTTTTGTACTATGTTAGGTCTTGTGCCTACTTGGCCTCACTTGCTCACTTCTTGACTCTGCTTGTACTGTGATCTCTATACATATACCTGCATGCTTACACTTGCTAGGTTGTGTTCACTGTATTGTTTGTTCTCCTTTATATAACTCTGCATGTGAACTGGCCTTGTGGCCATTTGCTTGTGCTCAGAATGTGTGGTGACGTCGTGATCCACCCTGAGCTTGCTTTGCCTTTCTTGACCGGTCTTGTGACCTCTTGTTCTCCCCCACTTTGCCTATGGGGGTGTGTCAAACTTATATGCTATAGTCTGTCTAGGCTGTAGTGGGGTAGTTCATATAGGGTACAACACTTTTAGGTTTCCTACTTGTAAACACCTGCTTGCTAGTTCAGTCATTCCTTCCTTCATTATTCTGACAAAAGCAAGCTCAGGGTGGATCACAAAGTCACCACACATTCCGAGCACAAGCAAAGGGCCACAATGGCCAGTTCAGAAACATAGTTATATAAAGAGAACAGACAGTACAGTGATCACAGCCTAGCAAGAGTAAGCATGCAGGTATATATATGTAGATCACTGTACAAGCAAAGTCACGCAGTGAGCAAGTGAGGCAAAGTAGGCACAAGGCCTAAAACAGTAGAGAAGCACAAATGATCACCAGACTTAAGTGCCTTGGTGAATATATCAGCAGTGTTGGCCCTAGTGGCCACGTACGCAAGACGAAGCTTACCACGCTGCTGCAACTCTCGAGCAAGGAAGTATTGCAGAGCGATGTGCTTCGTTCTGTGTTCCAGTCTGTGCTCCTGACACAAGGCAATCATGGCCTTGTTGTCTACGTACAGAACTGGAGGCGAACGAGGCTGCTCTCCCAAGTCAGTCAGCAGGTAGGTGAGCCAGCGTAACTCCTGTGCAGCCATGGCCCCTGCGTAGATCTCAGCCTCACAACTGGAACTGAGAACCGAGGATGAGCGGGTAGACCGCCAAGAAATAGAGCCAGAACCAAGGCTGAAGGTGTAACCCTGTGACGACCGTTGCGTAGCCAAGTCGTCAACCCAAGAAGCGTCTGCGTGACTAGTGAGGACAACTGGACCCCGTCCTCCAAGCACGAGCCCCATGCCCGACGTACTGCACAAGTAGCGCAACACCCTCAAGGAAGCCTTCGCAAAGGTTGGCCTTGGCGAGTTGTAGCTCGGCAGTCATTCTTTCCGAAAAGGCGCAGCCACAGTAGCAGCCAACACTGGAGTGCCAGACAGAGTCTTCAGACGGCTGGGCAGATGGCGAAGCGACACAACAAAGGAAATGTATGTGACGCCATACTTCGAGCCTCTCATCAAAGCCTCCCGCAACCTACAAGATCCAACGCATGCGGTGACTTTGGCACAACACACAGAGGCACTCGTACGTAACCGGAGGCACCCGCTGCCTATGTCTCAGAGACCCCATTTGTAATGAGAACGATGCCAATGATAAGAATAAGAAAGCAAATTTCTCAATATTATAATTTTTTAACACACATAGAGTTTTTTTTAAGTTGTGTATTGTGAAAGCGAAGCTGCTTGTATTGCACAATTGGCATCGTCAAAGCGCGCTAAACGCCCTTCTCCAACTACGAAAACCGTGGGTTGGAGTTCATTTCCCTCCACCCACGTTTCTCTATTTTCAAACGGCTCACTCAACATTCCCTGTCAGAATAACGAACGAGAATTAATGAACTATGAAAGAGTTGGGTACAAGTACTAACCCTAATTGGGTTGTACCCCTTATGGGCTACCCCACTATAGCCTATACAAGTAAGCAATATAACATTCTGACACACCCCCATAGGCAAAGTGGGGGAGAACAAGTGGTCACAAGACCAGTCAAGAAAAGCAAAGCAAGCTCAGGGTGGATCACAAAGTCACCACACATTCCGAGCACAAGCAAAGGGCCACAATGGCCAGTTCATATACTGAGTTGTATAAAAGAGAACAAATAGTACAGTGATCACATCCTAGCAAGAGTAAGCATGCAGGTATATATATATAGATCACACTACAAACAAAATCACGCAGTGAGCAAGTGAGGCAAAGTAGGCACAAGGCCTAAAATAGTAGAGAAGCGCTGATGATCACCAGACTGAAGTGCCTTGGTGAATATATTAGCAGTGTTGGCCCTAGTGGCCACGTACGCAAGACGAAGCTGACCACGCTGCTGCAACTCTCGAGCAAGGAAGTATCGCAGAGCAATGTGCTTCGTTTGTGCTCCAGTCTGTGCTCCTGACACAAGGCAAGCATGGCCTTGTTGTCGACGTACAGAACTGGAGGAGAACGAGGCGCCTCTCCCAAGTCGGTCAGCAGGTAGGTGAGCCAGCGTTACTCATGTGCAACCATGGCCCCAGCGTAGATCTCAGCTGTCAAACTCATATGCTATAGTCTGTGTAGGCTGTAGTGGGGTAGACAATATGGGGTACAACACTTTTAGGTTTTCCTACTTGTACCCACCTGCTTGCTAGTTCATTTCATTCCTCAATTCTCACATGGTATAGAGCAGGTTCCCTAGTGGGAACTTCCTAGGGCCCACCACTGAAAATCGACTTTTTTTCTGACCGGAGCGCGAGTCGCCCCTGCCTGAGGCGCGCCCCGTGGGCCGCCCTCTTGTCGAGCCCTCCTAGAGGCCCCTCGCGCCACCCTTAGCGGCCCCGTCGCCACCCCTAGCGGCCCCGTCGCCACCCTTCTAGGCCCCTCAAGGCCCCTTCGCGGCCCCGTCGCCG